CTGTAGTAGGTATTGTAGCAAACTTTTCATTAGATATCTAAGCATGGATGAATGGATGGATAATTAAATGAAGATATAAGGGATTAGTAAGCAAACACAAATTTTAACTTAAAAGCAGCACTGGGTGTTTGTTTGTGAGTGTGTCAAACTGTAAATGAGTTACCCATTCTGTACATTAGCAGGAAACATTGAAAACTGATACATGTCCTTTGAGCATTTTTAGAGACCAGAATAACTTTTTGTGTATAAAATTCAATGTATAACCATTGAAGTCATGCTCAAAAACTACACATTTGCCTTTGTCTTTATCTTCACCAATATCTCATCTTCTAAAATTTTATTCTTTTTTCTCTTTTGGCTAAAAGCTGTTCCTGACTAAATCCTGAGAGATCACAGGTCAGGTCCTATCAGTTAAAGATGACTTGAGATTTATGGATTACAGATGCCCAAGTTACATATGGGATTCTCTAGACTTACTTAAGCAAGGTTTTTATGTCCAGCACTTTTTTATAAAATGAGCATAAACACAAATATAAACTCTCTAGAGGCAATAAGCTGGATATATTTTGTTCATTGTATCTAAAAACTTCACCTGCTGGAACATCAAATAACACATTTAAGAGGATTACTGATGTAGATGTATATATATATTTTTCACCGTGGATCATTATTCCTGTGTTTCTGACCTTTGTAATGACAACATTTTCAATATACCTCATTCACAACTAGACTATATAGTGGAATAAATAAATGGTTTTAGCCTTGGTTCATTTAGAAGTCATACCCAACTTCAAAATTTGGTTGTTTTATTCACTTATTTTAGTTTTTAAGTGAAGATGGAGTAGTCTCATTTTTAAACCATCATGCAGTGCCATCTCCCAACTGTCCCTTGATGAAATTGTAAGCCCGTGGGGATACAATAGAGACAGGTGCCTGCAGTTTCCATGTACATGGTAATACAATATGGTACAAACTAGACCACCGTCATCAACTGAAACTGAGTTCTTTCTTCACGTGTCCTCATTAGACAGTCTGAGGTATCTCAGCACACTGATGGGGATAAAATCAAATCAAGGATATCAAATGAAGCTGCTGCTTCTCTTTTTGTGCCAATGTAAGTATACAGCGCAAGGGATACTAATGTTTTTGTAATGAGTGCATCTTCACGGAAACTCCTTTCGGTGAAATGAGGCTCATCAAAGAGTCAGGGCATCCACACACACCAAGTCTTCGTGGAAAAAGGAAATTGGAAAAATGAGAATTTAGCTAAATATACAGAGGGAAAAATAATTTAGGGCTACATGCAAGCCAGGTGATTGAGCTATTTGTGATGGGCATCGTTTCAGAACGAATGTCACAGTGACTTGAAAAGGGAATGACCTTTCAAGAGTCAAGCCACACTTCATTACACAAGCAAAGTCCTAGAGCTGCAGCTTAACAGGAGGGATTCTTGGCACTTTGCATAGCTTCTCTTTTCACAGAGCACAAAACAATGAAAGGACACACTTACCATGCTTTTTTTTTTATTGTTGATTGAAGATAATGGCTGTCACCTGAAAGGAAACGAAACAATTTTAAAAAATATTGAAACAAAGGCTTAGATTCACTGGATTTATTCAAAAACAGCATAAATCGAGTGGAATTACTCAACAGTAACAAGTTTCTGTTCTTACCAACTGATGTCTGTCTTCTCCTCCACACAGATGATCTGGAGTCAGGTAAGCTCTTTATTTTCTTCCCCCTAAAACTCCTCCTCACTAAGGAAAGCTGACAAGATGCACATCCTCATCTGCAGGTAGTGTTGCCTTTCACTGACAGTCAAACGTGAGATGGTTAGCTCATGCTTCAAGTCACCTTTGTGTGACTTTTATTAAGCGGTTAAACATTTCTACAA